GGAAGCTCGATTAAAGGATGACATTATGCGAGAAGCTGACCGTTATCAAGGTGCAATAATGGTTATTCACGAAACTGATGATGGTCAAATATTTGATGCTTGGGAACATGTGAGCTCTGATGCAGTTCAAACTCCTGTGGAGGTCTTTAAGTGCTTGGAAGCTGATGGTTTTCCTATAAAGTATGCCCGTGTTCCAATCACTGATGGCAAAGCTCCCAAAAGTTCTGACTTCGATTTATTGACTTTTAATATAGCATCTGCTTCCAAAGATACTGCTTTTGTCTTTAATTGCCAGGTAACCTAGTATGAATTCTTCTTCTTCGATTTACTTGTATTTTCTGTGGCCTTTGGCTCCCAACGGAAGATGCTGTTTACTTATTTCTGTAATTACAGATGGGCATAGGGAGGACTACTACTGGAACTGTAATTGCATGCCTTTTGAAATCACGTATTGATCATGGGAGACCCATTAGAGTATTAAATGATGCATCAAATCCAGATGTAGGTGGTGATATGTCAAGTGGTGATGAAAGTGAAGGCGAAAACCATCCACCTGCACTATTAGTATCAAAAAATAGACCTCAAATAGATTCAAGTGACACATTTGGGATAAATGACATCCTGTNGGTGGTGATATGTCAAGTGGTGATGAAAGTGAAGGCGAAGCCCATCCACCTGCATTATTAGTATCGAAAAATAGACCTCAAATAGATTCAAATGACGCATTTGGGATAAATGACATCCTGCTGCTCTGGAAAATAACAAGATTGTTTGATAATGGGGTGGAATGCCGAGAGGCCTTAGATGCTATTATTGATCGATGTTCAGCTCTGCAGAACATACGCCAAGCGGTCTTGCAATACAGAAAGTTGTGTAATCAGCAGCATATTGAGCCTAGAGAAAGAAGAGTAGCACTAAATCGTGGGGCTGAGTACTTGGAACGATATTTTCGTTTGATCGCTTTTGCTGCATATCTTGGCAGCGAAGCATTTGATGGATTTTGTGGACAAGGAGAATCGAGGATGACTTTCAAAGATTGGCTGCACCAGAGGCCAGAGGTTCAAGCAATGAAGTGGTCAATTAGATTAAGGCCTGGGAGATTCTTTACCATCCCTGTAATGCCTCTGACATCTATCTGTCTGTGTTGCGGATTCTTTTTTAAGCTCGATTTGATTCTGTTATAATTGTAAGTGCAGGAGGAACTAAGAGCTCCACATGAGTCACAACATGGGGATGCTGTTATGGAAGCTATTGTGAAAGATCGGAATGGCTCTGTTCTTGGGAAAGGGTCTATTCTCAAGATGTACTTCTTTCCTGGCCAAAGAATTTCCAGTCACATACAAATTCATGGTGCTCCTCATGTTTACAAGGTATGTTAAATTTCCATTATTTTCATGATGCTAAGAGAAGCTGAATTTTGATTTCATATGGCTAATGGGAGATATTTATACTAGTGTTAGGGTTTCCAAGATAGATGTATGAGCACCTTTCGCACCACAGACCTTTGTGATAGAGATAGGTCATGTTTTTGTTATTCTTTCATAATCTTCAACACATAAATTTGAAGCCAAGTGACATAAACATCATATGGCCAACTTTTTCAAAAATAAACATCATATGGCCAAGAAGTATTTTCAACTAGATAGAGGAATTAGGATATATCTTTTTGATGAAGTAAGGGGAATTGTATAGATGGCATCCATAAGATGCAAGAAGTACAAAATAGAGGAATTAGGATATATTTTGCACTAAAGCTTTTCAGCTTTTGATCATGTGTGAGAAATAAGAGGAGAATTTGGAAGAATGATTTGAGACAGATTTAGCGTACACGAAATACATAGAGTATGATGTTACATCTTTAAATGTGTTACTAATATTAACTATTTAACATATTTTTTTGGTTGCCTATATAGGGCAGGGCGAGACCAATACATAAATAGAATTGAGAAAATTAGGATCAAATGCAAAAATATGAGTATGAATGCTCCGATGAAGTGCAAATACATACAGGAGATGGGAGAGAAGAATTAATATACCCACAAAGAAAAAACGACACACAACAACAACACAAACCCAGTGAAATCCCATAAGTGGGGTCCGAAGAGGGTAATGTGTATGCAGACCTTACCCCTACCCTATGAAGATAGAGAGGCTATTTCAAACCCTCGGCTCAAGAACAGTGAAAAGGAAGCAATAAACAAATAATAGCACCAACAAGGTAATAGGACAACGGAAGCAAATGACACAACATGTAATAACAAAGATCTACGAATACGAAAATACAAGAATACTGCCAATACTACTGGTAAGAATGACACACCGTATAATAACAAGGAACTAGGAATAGGAAAATATAAGACTAGTACTAATACTATTGGTAAGACTAGGGAAACTCTCGACTACATGTCAACCTACAACCTTAAACACACAACAACAACAACAACAACAAAAAACCTAGTGAAATCCCACAAGTGGGGTCTCGCACAAGAAACCAAAAAGAAAAAGAAAAAGAAAAAGAAAAAGAGAGAAGATAATTCTTGATTATGCCTGGTTTTGTTAAAGAAGATTGCTATCTTTTCCCAACTTGAATCATAGAATGTTAGAAATGAAAGCAATAAGCAATAAGCAATAAGTAAACCATAAATGGAAAACAATGGCACACCAAGAGCAGAGAAGCAACTATGTAGAAGAAGAGTACAAAGAGGCTGTCAACAACAATGGAGAGTATAAAAAGCTGCTAGACAAGCCTAACCAGAGCAGTGTATAAAAGTGGGTCAAACAAAGAAGTCCAAAGTATTGTACCCAATCAGCTATGCATTATGGGGCGTGTCTATCCGCTGCTACTATTAGAGATCTAAATGTAAAACCAGTAATGAAAACAACGTCACACCAAGATCAGGGAAGCAGAAAATTACCATGTCGAAGAAGATTGCAAAAGAGACTGTTAACAACAATGGAGAGTATAAAAACAGCTAGTCAAACCTAAACAAAGCAGTGTACAAAAAATAGGCCAAACAAAGAAGTTCAAAGTATTCTACCCCAAGCAATCAGCACACAGAACATTGTTGGTTTATCCCAGTGTTGTGAAGAGCGTGAAGCGAGAAAAAGCGACAAACCCCATTTCGCTTAAAGCGAGAAGCGCAACGCTCGCTTTTTTGAAGTGAAGCGAAATTTAAAAAAAATAAAAAAAATAAATATTGCATAGACAACACATGTAATTGTAAGCAAATGTTCAATACTTCAATGTA